AAGAAAGCAAGCAAGCCAGAGTGAGAACCTGGGAATAAGAACAACAATGCCAATAAATCAGCTGAGGAACGTTCCCAGATGTCTACAGCTCATATCCCAGCTTAATGACAACTTTTATAACAACAGTGATCTCTAAGAGCTGTGACCACTGTGGGCTGTTCTTTCTGTGAAACGACAAGCACACAGTCAAATATGCCCCACTGAGTTCACAAGGATGAAACATATTGTCACTGCATCCTTTGTTGTTTAGAGGCTGTGCCAAAATAATTTCCTTGCATCCACTTCAAAGCCAGGTTTTACAAATGTTTAGTCTGAGTTAACTGTCCCGGAAAAAGCTGTGTCAGTGGGACCCAGATGGGAAACGTAAGTAAGAAGGTCTAAACAAATCAATTAATTACTGGTAACATTAAGTGAGATAAGCCACATCTTTACTGTGATATGGAAATTGTGAAAGATACTTTGTTATAATTAAAATTAAAGAAAAAAAAAAAGGAGAGAGAGAAAAAGTCCTAATTACTTCACATGGTTTCCTGGCAGGGATTTGCTTGCTTTTTTGTGAGCATGGATCTGTATATGCTATATTTCTTTAGCTGAAAATTTACCACCAAAGGAATTTTAAGATTCTTTTTAAGTTCCCTTCTGTGATAATTTATTCACCATTTGCAATCTGTTAAACAGTTTTCAAAGGGAACTCCTTCCAGATTTGTCACTCCTAAAAAAATCTATTCATCCACTGCACTACCCATAGGGCAAATGCTGGGCAGAAGAATTCACAAGTGCAAATTTATCCAAATAACCTGACACTGGAAAAAAAAAAACAACAACAAACAAATACAATACAGAAAGCAGCAAGAGAGACCTGGTAATTTAATATTCCCAGGACCTCATTGCGAGGACAGAAGATGTATAGGCTTGACTTAGTAAGTGCCGCATTCCAGAGCCTGACCTACATCTCTCACCCTTCCTAGCTAGTCACTCTGTGAGCTGTAACAATCCTGAAACCTGGAGAGCAAAGCAGTATGTTTTGATATAAATTTACTTATATGGAATGCATGTTTTCCATGTAAAAAGCAGCATACAGTACAGCCCATTATACTGAAGGGATCAAATGGTTCTCACCATGTCAACAGGTGAAAAAATTACAATCTAGCCTATCTGTTAAGAGAAAAGGAGGATTCAAAAGTTGGCCACCTGCCATGACAGAATCAAAGTCAGAAATAGAGGCAAAAGGGGTAGAATTCATTACAGCACCTCTTGATTCCATGTATTTGTAAATGCTAATATGGGTCTCAGCAATGGCTGACTTCAAAAATGAGCAATTATTATTTGTTTATTGCAGCAAAAGTTCTCCTCATTAGATCACTGCTTCCCCCTTCCTCTGCCCTCCAGTATGTTCAAACCTCATGTTCTGGACTGAGCTGCCACTTGTGGGCTTGCAGCTCAGACACTATTAAATTCCATGACTTTGCTTCATCTTCTTCTGATTGTGATTTTCCAGGGAAAAATGAAGGAAAAAAAAAAAAGGAAGGCTAGGTATTAAGCTGCACTGTCATTTATGCCACCACACACTCCATGAATGTTACTGCCGCAGTGAGCATTAAAAAGGGCTCCCTTCTCTGTTTCAATGCATTGGTTCTGTACCTCTGACATCTGCAGACACCCAGCAGCACGGCACTGGGATAATAGAGTGAAGAATCACGCACAGTCTGTATTTAGAAACCTTCTTGCTTTCTGTCACCTAGGAAGAGAAGAAAAGATTCCACAGTGCCTAATTACTTGGTTTCTTCCTGGTGTTTGACTTCACTGGTTTGGAATATAATTGCTTACAGTTCATAAAACGGGTCTTCTATGACCAGCTGACTTTAAAGGGTCAAACTGTGTTAAAAAGCATGTTAGGAAGGGCAGTAGCTTTTATTAACTTCTTGTCCTGGTTTCAGCTGGGATAGAGTTAATTTTCTTCCTAGTAGCTGGTGCAGTGCTGTGTTTTGGCTTTAGTCTGGGAACAGTGCTGGTAACACACCAATGGTTTAGTTGTTGCTCTGTAGCACTTAACCCTGATCAAGGACTTTTAGGTCTCATGCTCTGCCAGTGAGGAGGGGCACAGGAAGCCAGGAGGAAGCAGAGACAGGACACCTGACCCAAACTAGCCAAAAGGGTATTCCACACCACAGCACGTCATGCCCAGGATATAAACTGGGGGGAGTCACACAGAAGGGACTGATCATTGCTCGGGTGGGGCTGGATATGCATCAGTGGGTGTTGAGCAACTGTATTGTGCTTGGGTTTTATTCCTCTTTTCTTATTATTCATTATTATTATTATTAGCAGTAGTACTATTTGTATTATTATTATATTTTACTTTGGCTTATTTTGATTGTTAATCAATTTCAGTCCACAAATTTTACTTTTCTTTTTTCCAGTTCTCCTACCCATCTCACCAGGAAGGAGTTAGCATGAGCAAGCAGCTACATGGTCCTTAGTTGCTGGCCAGGATTAAACCACACCACCTCTCAAATACTTTCAATACCCTTTCCAGCAGGCTTTCCTAAAAACCAAATTAGCATAAATACATTCTAGGCTAAAACTTCAGACCTAGAAAGGTACCAGTTTCACAGAGTAATGCTGTTCTCCATAACATCTCCTGTCTAGCTGTGTGGCAGTTGTAAATTTACATTATATCAGAAACATGGCTTATGGGATGGCTTATAGGATACAGAAGTGAAAAGGTTAAATCTGCATCGATAGAGACAGTTTAATGGAGAATAGAAGTTAGGTATGATTTTTCCTGATTTGGAGAAAAGATTTGAAAGTTTAGGAGAATATCTAAAATACAAAAAAATTGGTACAGTGGTCCTCCAAGGAAAGGAGGTAATCTTTATTGGTAATAGCATTACAGGTTTTATTCCAGTACAAGCAGCTGCTAGGTAAGAGTCAGAATAGAAAAATTTTGTTAAATTCAACAGTGTGGTTTCAGTCATTAAACAGTATTTGTGAAAATAGTACAAGTTTGATATCTTTGACTGGAAATATTTTTTTAAGGTTTTAGTAAGTGCTGATTTATCCAATAGCTTCATGGCTGAAGCTATGATGCACAAGATATAATTAAAATCTCTGTTCTGAGAGGCTTTAAAACCATGTATCCATACCTTGAATCAGATGCCAAGTGGATTGAATTTAATTTACACCCAGGTCAAGTAATGAGCTTAACCAAACTAGTTGCAAAATATCTGGCAACTGACCTACAAAAACTTTTTCTGCAGATATATCAACATGCAGTTCTGCAATGTTGCTTGAGTCAGCAACTCTGTGGTTTTCCTAGAAATACAGCACTTGTGTTCTGGGCTGTTTGCTGTGGTCCTTGCTGTTGTCTTTTTCATCAACGAACACATCCTACAAGCTGACTGGCTTCCCTCCTTCCAGCTTCTTCATCTAAGACTGTGTGAGGTAGCAATGGGTTAATGCAGAATCATTCTGTCTACCCAGATTTAGTGCTGCAATATGGTATGATCCTCTTACCTACCTGTGGGTCTGGGTTAGTGACAGTATTTGACATCATGGTTTCATAGGCAAGGTGTGCGACAGCATTACTGTCCCACTTTATTTTAGTCTCCATTTAGCACTGCTTTTCAGCTCTGTACAGGCATAATTAGAATTTTGCTGAGAAATGACTGATAGCCAAGAGAATCCTTAAATTCAGACCTAGCTGTGTTTCTTTGAGAAAAATACCAGAAAATAACACATCTTTGGTTGGATTTCAAAACACTTTTTCCTTTGAGTTAATTGCAATAGTCCTTTAGGACTGTGCTTGCAGTCTCTTCTGGGACACCAGAATTCCTCATTCTGTCTCTCCTCCCACCTGATGGGGTGACCTTCACAATAAGGTTCTTTACATATGGCAACCTCTCCATCTCTTCAAAAGCTGTCTTAATGTAGATAGCCAGAGGGAACAAGCTGTGAAGCAGGAGCGATCAGCTCTCCTCAGAGGGAGTACACATGCAGTGTCTTTCCAACTGCATCTCTCAGCCTTGGAATTAAAGGACTGAACATTGGTTTCAGCTCTGAGTCTCTTCTTGGTACAATGCAGGTATCAATGATATCAAGCAATGATATCAAGGGAAAAGAGACTAGCGTAAGCCTTGAAGCATCTGTTTTTTTTTTCCCCTAACTCAAACGTTTGCTGGCAGTGTAGCTTCGGACGAGTTCACTGTGTCTCTGTTCCTCTTTTTGAAAATAGAAATCTGCTTTTCTGCTTTGCTGACTGGGAGGATGTGCTCTATACAAGTTCAACATTCTTATTTATTATTGTTTTTTAGCTAAAATGTTAGGTTTGTTCTCTTCGGTAATGTTTCTGGTGTACTAACAGTACAAATTTATGCTTTTCCTACTTCTGTGTCATATTCCGCCCTCATGTATCCATAAAAAGTATAGAGATATCTGGGATATGATAAGGTGTGCAAGGGTGGAATTGCGCAGAAGAGGAAAGAGCAGAATTCCAAATGTTAGACGTTTTGGCATCCAGGGCAGGGTGTTGAACCACCTCCAGCTGGGCACTCACTCAGTGGTAGTAGGTTTTTGTAGATGTTATTGTGATTGCTCTCCTGATAGAGAGCTGGATCACCTGTGTCTGTCATGTGCTTTATTGCTGGTTCAAGCACTGATGCCTGATGCCTTCCCATTGGGCTCAGCTTGAAAGTCTATATGGGTAGGCAGTTCAAATCGGCAATACTTCTTGCATGGGAAGTATGGGGACCACAACCTCTTGGTGTCCCCAAAGGACTCCTTCCTCAAATGGTTTCTCACCTCTTCATTATAAACCTATTTGCTCTATATAGATGGTTTTGTTTAGATGTTATTTTTTTACTGGTACTTTTCAATTATGGTATTTCAGGATCACCAAATGTGCATTCACCATCATTAGTGGCTTCTTCTCATGTTATTTGTTTCATGTTCAGGGAATAGCAACCAGATTACAAAATAATGAGCTACCTTGTGTATTTCAGAAACATACCCCTCGCAATATGCATTTCAATGATTATCGTCACAGTTGGCTATGTGTTAACAAACGTGGCTTATTTCACTACAATCAGTGCTGGGGAATTGCTCCTTTCAAAAGCTGTAGCAGTGGTAAGTTACAGAAGAAAAATACAAAGCTATATCCCTGCTGCAGTTGTGTTTGTTGATGTATTCTTATTTCTTGGGGAAAAAAAAATCGGGGGGACACATACAATCAGGCTTTTCTGTGGTTCCTCTTTTACACCGTATAATAGCATCCTGGTGAAATTACTCTGGTTTTTGGTTGAGTGGGGTTGCACTTAAGGCCATAGTTAGCATTCATAGTAATGTTAAACCATATTTATTTACCTGATAAAACAAAGTCAATAGGACTTAAATTTTGTTGTCAAGTGAATGCTTGAATAATTCTGTGCTAAACTGTAGGCCAAACTAATGGGAAGCAGGAAACACAGATACCTGTGGAATTGGGAGTTCTGAACTGTTTTTTGTAGCGAGAAGCTGTCTTGCTTCTTGTAAGTCTCTGCAACTGTGCATCTGGAGTACTTAGGAAGGGGGTTGCTGTGAACACTGAAGTTCATTTGGGAAGGAGTTGCAAAACAACCTGGCTTGGCACTATTGCTTTGATTGTTCTTGCTGAATTGTGGTGATGACACTGATTTTCATATTTACAGTATCTGACTCACAATGAGGAAATAAAAATTTCCATTTACTTTCCAGTAGTGGTACTGTCTGTGGCTATTTCAATCGACGTGGCATTTAAAATGACCAAATTCTGTAGCTCATGAGAGATTTAGAAAGAAAACATTTTGCAAACCTGAAGAAATTTGTGCATGTCTGCTGTGGTGCCTCAGACTCCAATTAAGGCTCTTCTGGTAATCTAGAACAAAAAAAAAAAGAAAACATGAATGGATGGACAGTACCACTTGGTAGTATCACCTGAGTGAAGACTGTAGGACAAAATTATTAGGTAAGCAGATCAGGCCGTGATCCATTCAGATTAGGTCTTCGGTTTTTTTGAGTCATAATGGTCTAAACTGACAAAAAAAAGGACCACCACAGCATTGCCTCAACTGACTATTTTCTACACAGTCAGGAGTAAGGGTGGGAGACCAGTAGTGTTCGCAACATAAAATAAGAGGTAACAAAGGCACAGTGCAACTTTCAGTGAGGGATATAGAAAAGGTGTATGACTAGAACTTATCATACTTATTAGTGATTAGTTAATAGATAAAAATTATTCTCATGTTTTAGGAAAAATCACTGTGTTTCTCTCTCTCCTCTAACAGACCTTTGCTGAACGACTGATGGGAAACTTTTCTTTAGCTGTACCAGTATTTGTTGCTCTCTCCTGCTTTGGATCTATGAATGGCGGCATTTTTGCAGTCTCCAGGTAAGCATTAGCTAATATTACTGGAGGTAAAGGGCACAGGATATACACTTGAAGCAAGGAAGTTAGAGGATAGGACAGTAGGATTCATTCCTTTAGTAGGAAGTGAAAAATGACTACAGTGGTTACCAGATGTGGGTCTATTTCTCAACTTTGTTCCTGCTGAGTTTGACTCTTATAGTTAAAACCCTTTGAAATGTTTGGAAGTAGATCCCTCTGAGCATAGCACTTAATGGCTGCTTTGTTTCGTGTGAAGGAGGGAAATCGGAGGAAAAATGTTAACTAATTCCAAACACTGATCATAGTGTAAAGTAAGGAGGGGACACCTTCAGAAATGACTTTGATTTCTGCTTATAGGCTTCTCCTGCTAGTCTTTTCATTCAGAATGCCTCAAACAAGCCTAAGAAGTGCTGCTGTGTTCTGTGACTTTCATGAGCTGCTTTGCCTAGTTGCAGTAATGAGCACATTTAAAGTCTGTCCACATTTGTTTCCCACCAGGATGTTCTTCGTTGCATCCCGTGAGGGTCACCTTCCGGAAATTCTCTCCATGATTCATGTCCGCAAGCACACTCCTCTGCCAGCTGTCATTGTTTTGGTAAATCATACAAACAAATGTTCCTGCACAAGAATTCATATTACAGCCTTGCTCTGGAGGATTCAAACAGAATTTGGGCACTGCTTGAGTCTCATTTATTAATGTGTACGTGGGCTTTGGGCAGGGCAGAGGACAGTAAAGAGAGGAATGAGATTTGGGAGTTGTTCTTATTCTATCATCTCCTTCTTGCAATCTTGTTGGTAGCACTTGTCTGCTTATCTTCACAACCTCATTCATGTCTTATTGCGCTTTGTTTCTAAGGACCTGCTAGTGATGTGCTAGTTCCCTTTCAGAGGAACAAATTCCACTTAAACAAACAAACAAAAAAGGGATTCAATTTAACTGAAAATGCAGCTAAACACCAGCATCTGGGAGCACCCTAAAGGCTCATTACACTACCTTATAGTGAAAAGTGTAAACAATTATGCACTAAGATAATGGAAGGGGAACCCTCAGCAGTGCAGTGTAGCAGTGATTAAAAAAATGAGAGAAGTGTGCCTGGGCAATAGTCTGTGAATTGTCTAAGGAAAAACACCAGCATTATAGTGGAAATCCTATTACTGAGTTCTAAAATAACAGCAGAGCTAAATGTTGGCCATGTGTTTACATTGCAGACTAATTTGTATGGTAAAATGTTAGGACAAAATGTCAAAATACTGACCTCAAACCTCAGTTTGCAAAGTGCTTTGAAGATTTTCACTTAACTTGCAGTCTTTGTAACCATGGGTGTTTAGCCCTTCTTTTGGGACTAATGACTGTAATATATCTGGACAGAACCTCTGCATCTGTAAGGAGATCTAGCCATGGCAGAAGACACATGTGCCCTTGTGAGTCTGTGGTAGTAAGACCAGATGCTTATACTGGAATTTAAATCAGTTTTTGAGCTACATGCTTATAAGCTTGCTTCTGAAGTGCCAGCTAAAGTGTTGAATTTTACATTTGCACATACAACTGGAGGCTTCCACATTTTGAATATTAGGCAATGTGATTATGGTGAAAAGTTTTATGGAATTCATTTTACATAAGCATTTACTTTGCATCTTATTGCTTTGGGGGAGTAGCAATATCTTTCACGTAAAGGCATTGTTTTCTGGAGAATGAAATACTTAATTTTTTTTTTCTGAAATACATTTTCTGCTATTGCATCTGGTTCTGTTGCACCTATGCATTGATTTCCTTTGAAAAAGTCATATTCCCACATTAAGATGTCTTTCCTTCAGAGATAATAATTTTTTTTTCTTGCCTTATTGCAAATAGAGTAGTAGCAGAACATATTCTGCATCAATAGTCTGCATTTTAACATTTTCCTGGTTTATTTCTTCTACCAAGGTCTCCACACTGTAAGAAAAGAAAACTCTTGAGGATAAACAGAAAATGAGCATGTTCAGTGTTTGAGGCTTGCTAAATAAAAAAAAACATTCTTAGTAATTAAGAGATCCGTTCATGTATGTATGTTCTGGTATTTGATAGATGTGTGTGAAACAGCTCCAAGAAATCATGCAATCACAGTTATTTTTTATTTCTTGATACCTCTTCTTCATTGTCTGTGGCCTTTTCTAGCTTTATTGTGCCTATAACTGAGGTTTTAAACTTTTGGGGGCTGAGTCTCTATAGAAGAAATCTTGCCCAATATAATGCAGTGGTAAAATTTCCTTTGACCTTTACAGAGGAGTTTGCTTAATATCAGCATAAAGGACCAAGAACTTTGTAAGTCAATAGAGGCTGGAATCCAGAGTCCCACATTTGAAATATTGATCCTTTTGGTCCAAAATCCTTGCTGTCTTCACTGCTTAAAAGGCAGAGAGAGAGAGACAAAGAGACTGTGAATCTAGATAATTAATAAAAGTTAGTTTTCCTTACATTAAGATTTAGCCCAGTGTTTTACTGCATCTGCAGCTGATTTCACCTGTTGCCTCATTACATACCTGGAGAGGTTGTGGCTGCCGGGATCATCCCTCTTGCTGAATAATAAGGGCTGTGTTGGATTTGATTCATTCCTTCATCCCCAAATCTGAGGACTGTGTTGTTGTGGGCATAGGCTGTCTCATGGGAAGCGCAGATTACCCTCCAGAGTTAATCCAAGCTACAAAAATTACGCTTTTTTCAAGACATTACCCTAAAATAGATCCCCGTAGCCTACGCTAATAATCTAACCCAAGGCACAGCACTAGTTTATATGTGAGCTTTTACCTGCCTCACAGAGACCTTGTCTCTCAGAACAGCTCTATAATGAGGAAATGCATTTATTCTAGTGTCCCCTCTCTTTCTTGTTCTTCAGTAGTTGCCTGAGTGACAACTTAATGCTTTTCCCTGCTTAGAAATGTTTGCGTTTCTGATGTGTAGTCAGTCCACGCTCCAGGCTTGAAAGGCACAGTGAAAGTACAAGCTGGTGGCAAACCAGTGTGCCCAGCTGTCATCCTGTAGTGTGTAGCTATCACTTACCGTGCCCTCTTTGCAGATTTCCCGTTACAGCTTGCAGGACTTTAAGACTTTGTCCTTCCACAAGACACCTGGAAACCTCTGCTTTCATTTAATCAGATGTGACCAAGACTCATCTCCTCTTGTCATCTGTGTCAGTGGCGGGCAAGTAAAACAGTGGGCTAATATATTTGTCAGGTCCCACAAGAACAGTGCTTAGGATGCTCAAACATTTTGGTGATGCAGTGGGCTGTGTGCCTGCATGTGTTTTTCTGGGACACAATGGACAGATATGTATTGGTCACAGATATGTGGCCACGTGAGACAGATATATATTTATCAGATGTGATCTCAGGGGACAGCTGGATTGATTACACACCTGATTGTATGACAAAGGAAGGCCCCACATCTGTGGCCCTCAGGTGTCTCTGCACAAGGCTGTGCTACTTGTCCCTGTGGAAAAAATTGACGTCGTGGCTGTAAAATAATAGAGAACAATCCACTAACCCCCTCTTATGCTCTGAATTTCTTTTGCAGCATCCTCTCACAATGATAATGTTATTCACCGGTGATCTCTACAGCCTCCTGAATTTCCTCAGTTTTGCCAGGTGGCTTTTTATTGGACTGGTAGTTGCTGGGTTGATTTATCTCAGATATAAACGTCCTGATATGCCTCGTCCTTTCAAGGTAACCTCTACTCTCTACTGTTTTACATGAATCCTTCTCCCTCCTATCCATTGTGTGGCCAGACAGTAAAGGAGAATTTTATGATGTAGAAAGCTAAGCTCTTTTTTTGAGAAAAGTAGAGTCAATAGAAAATAGTCTTTTGCACTGAAAGGTCTCTGAGTGTTTTCCTGCAAGCTCCCCAGTGCTTCTTCAGCTATGTTCACTTCTGAAAGATAATTCTTGTCTATTGCGTGGTGCTTCGGTGGCAGCAACTGAAGCTGCTGTTCCAAAGGGAATTGCTTAGTTTTGCCTATCTCCTGCACTGAGTCAATGTGATTCAGGCTGTTTGAAAATGCCTCTAGTCCTGTGTAGTCCATAGCATTCAAACTGCAAATCTTGGGGTTACATGCGCCACCTTGATTTTCAGCCAGTTCTCTATTTAATCTCTTCTTTGATAAAGGCCTGAATAATTTTGCCACCAGAATTCATGTTAAGCATAAGCATTAATAGTAAACATTTATTTCATTGCCTATCCAATATGCCAATTTGATGCACAAATGAGTTGTTAATGCTATTAATATGATGTCTGGGACTTGCAATGGATTTGCAAACACAGTTTTTGTGAACCCTGAAAGTGCTAATAGTCTGGCCCATTGAACAGTAGCTGTTTTAGCTTTGGTTCTGCCATTTTTCTTGCTTATTTGAAGTAACATCTTACAAAGTAAGTTGTCCTGTATGTATTTGTAAAGATAATGTCTATCATGAAAAAAATGGAGGAATCTATCCCTGTTTATGTATTGTCAAGATGCTTGTTTTGTGAAGAACTAGGAATGTGCAGTGTTGCATTCCTGTATGTATATCTGTAAATAAGGTCAAAAGCGCTAGCTGTTTTACTTTGATTAAAAATAAAAAAAAAAGGTTTTGACAGTCCACAAAAGAGGAACAGTAATGCTTCAAGGCATGAAATGAGGAGAGTACTCTCCAAGGAATTCTCCAGCTCTCCGTTATACCAAACATCTCAGCCATGCCTCCAGGTGTTTCCTTCAGAGAGGTGCTACCATAGTGATTGTAGTGATGTTCTTGAAAATTGAAAGAATTAATCTGATATTTTTATTTTTTCTACTTTCAACACTGGCAATACTACCAGTCATACAGTCAGAAAGTGCTTTTTTCAGTAGCTACCACTTGCATAATGTTATCAAAAATCTTTATCACTGGTCAAATTAGTGTCTAATTTACTCTCTTCTTTCTAGATTTTAATTTTTACCTTAGGAGGAAAATCAATATGTTCTTAATAGTTTTAAAAGGTGACTTGAGCTCCTGCTTGTGTTTTAAAGTGTTTTCTAATAGGTAATTATCAAAGAGGATATCTTTACTGAGGTTAGACCTGCTTACTTATCTACTGGGGGATTAGAGAAAGGACTTTTGCAAAGTAACTTATTTACAGCCCTTACATTTTCGAGGGTGTAAAACACTGCAGTGTTTTAGTGTGTAATTAAAAGACTTCTGTGGTACTTACTGCGTAACACTCAGCATAGCTTGGTTTCTTCAGTTACTGACATTTTGTGTCCATGTTCTGGATGCCTGTATTTCTCCGGAACTATCCTGTACTGCTGGGTTTTATCCAATTTACATTTAATGGAACATTAAAAGCCACAGTCATTCAGTAGCAAGGTCAATGTAAAGTAATGGTTCTTTGTGTGGTTATGTTTCAGGTACCTCTATTTATTCCAGCGTTGTTTTCCTTCACCTGCCTCTTCATGGTTGCACTGTCACTTTACTCTGATCCAGTGAATACAGGGATTGGATTTGCAATAACCCTGACTGGAGTTCCTGCCTACTACTTCTTTATTGTATGGGACAATAAGCCAAAGTGGTTCAAAAACCTCCTAGGTAAGCCCTGGTGGACTCCTCTTCTTCATACTGCCTCCAGGAATTTCTCAGGGCTCCCTGTGTTGTGAGGGAGCCCTTAGCAGTGATGAAAATGCAAGTTTCTTTTTTGGTGCATGCTGTAGCATTGCACTGCTGGTTACAATCAGTGTTCACTAACTAATGAGATACATCTACAGCAAGACTATTCTTCACCTGGTGATTGACTTTAAAAGACTAGATGCCTCTCCCTCTGTCCTATTCTTCTCTCGCTCTCTTACAAACATCCAATTCTTTTTAAATCACTCATCTCCATCCCCTGGTTGTTGGCCTATGCTAGTAGAGACAGTATTACACTCTCAGGAGAATCAGTTTGGAAACTTAAAAATTACAGTTGGGAGTGACAGGATAGGCTTGGTGTGCGCTACTGAGACAAAGCACCTGTGGAGTATTTGGAATGGGACAGGTGCAGGCGGGCTTGCTATGAGGACACTGTCCTTAGCAGTGGGTCCTGACAAAATAATTACAAAAGATACTACTGGGTTTGATACACCTCTGTGGAAAATTGTTTCTGTGCTTAATGAAAAACAGCTTTTGTGTAGCTTGGCTGTAGTATTTCACATCTGAATTACCCTAAGAATAATCTTTGTACCATTTCTGAAAGTTTTTGAAAGCATTTGTAGAAGTTCTGCTGTATTAGAGAAAAGTTATTTGGAGCATTTACATTAGAAAGAAGTCACTATCATTTATTACAGTTCCCTGTTATTCTGGTTTTTGTTGCTCAGTATGATAGGTTTTCAAAGTAGAGGTAATTTTCAAAACATGAAACAAGAATATAGACAAAATATTTCAGAAATGTTGGATAATTTATTAAACCAAACTGAAAGAAAATCTCTTTTGATGCAAAAGAAAAACTCAAGCCATGAAAGTTTTCAACTAAAAATTGTTTCTTGTATAGGTGCCAGATCAGAAATGCATATCATCTTCTGTGCTTCTGTCTTAAAGGATGATTTAAAATGAGCTGCTCAGAATAAAAGAATGGGTTTTTTATATGTATGTTATCATACTATAACCTTTTGTATGCATTTTCTCTCTATAAATATAGGCTGCATAGTTATGTGCTATCTATCTATTGCAGGATCTATGAATTTTCCTCTGAAGTCATGCTGGGAACTCCATAGACAATAGGGCAGAAAGTATTTACAGAAAAAGATGTTATCTTAAGGCTAGCACAATCTGGTCATCTTAATTTTTTTATCCATAGGGTTATAAAATTCTTCCAATGTCCTGGGAATGGGTGGAAAGCTCCAGTGCAAAGGAAAACAGTTATATGCAAAAGGACATTGTATTAAATAGTTGGGATTTTGTCTGTTTATAATTTCTCAGCCCTGACATTTGGGAAATTTTCCCTTATCAAACCCAGGAGATTTCTGGCATTTTCTGTGAAGTCTGAGAGGTTTTGAATCGTTGCTTGAATCTCTGGCCACAGGATGCCAGTGTTGAACTGCATTACATGGGTGATGGAAAAAATATTCTCTTTAAGGTAGACTGGGTAGATGTGAAGCTTTTTATGCCAGCTGTGACGCAGAAGGTGAATCTTCTAGCTTTTCAGATAACACAAAATTCCCCTCCTAGAAAGAAGGCCTGTTGCCTGTGTAATACGTATGAAGGGACACAGTTTACTGGCTCAGAGGGGAAAGCAGTGGATGACAGTCAGTGGGTGAAACAGCTTGTTTGCTTTGCAATTATTATTCCCAAAATAACAACAGTAATGACTGAAAACTGATGCTGACAATTTTGAGGTGGTGCAGAACAGATATTTACTTGTTAAATATAAAGATTTTTTTTTATTTCCTCAGAAGAAGCAATAAACCTTCTGTGTGGTGTCATTAAACTGGCATTATTTTGTGAGTGTTAAGGGAGCTCCATTGTATAGCCTGAGAGCATTTTTCAAAGGCATTGAGTGAGGATAAATTCACTTAAGGTACTCCTGTGAGATATAGAAAAGCCATTGGGCAGCTGCAAGCTTAATATTCTAACCTTGAAACAATATGCATTAGGTGTATATAAGCATGAAAGAGTAAGGCCAGACATGAGGTAAAGGACAGCAGGAAAGAGTAGGATTGTAATTTAAGAGGTAGATTTTAGCCAGATGAACTGGGTAACTTTCTTTAAGAAGATAACTGATTTTTCTAGACAAAGGAGAATGTGATAGATCCAATCTACTTAGATTTCAACAAAGCATTTTGTGTAGTACCATGAGGAGATTCAAAGCCTGTTTGTCTGAACATGACGCTGTGCTAACAAGACTGTTCCCAAATTGCTTCATCTGTGCAGCTCAGTGCATGAACAGAGCACTATGGGGCTCTCTACCCATCTGCAAAGTCGCCTTGTAGGGAACTTGATTAGTTCAGCTACCCAGATATGGGTACAAGAAATGACTGCTGCTCATAAACCTCACGTGGAACATGTGCTATCTAAGTAAAGGACAACACTGGTGCAAGGACACATGGGTACAGACCAGCCCCACATAAGATTACACGGGATATTCAGAAGAGGTTTTACTAGGATCAGAGGAAAGGGATGTTGGACAGCCAGAATGAGTAGTGGGATAAAAGACCCAGCCTGAAGATGAGTATATTTGTGAAAGGGGTTTCAGGCTGGTTACAGTAGCCCTCAAATGGATTACCCACAAAATCCTCTCCCAGGCTGAACATCTTTCATTTTGACTGCCCTTAATGGCAGTTATGTTGCCCATTCCCCTTACCAAATTACTGTATTGAACAAAAGGTAACATCACAGTTTGTGGGCTTAATAGGGTTTGGGTGGTATTTTGCAGTGAGAATAACATTTTGTTCTGTCCTCTTCCAAAAAAAAATTTGCTGTAGCACCAGATGTGCTGGGACAAATAATTTCCAGCTAGTACAGGCTTCATTTGACCTCCACTTTCTCGCTTTTTGTAGAACTAATGCAAAAATGAAAAGAAAGTCAAGCTTAGCAAATCCTACAAAGCAGATCAGTGTGTAAAAGGATGAAGCACCAGCATGAGAATGATTCTATTTGGTCTTTCTCCTTTGAAAACCCAACCTTAGACTTATATTTAAAACATCTATTTCTTTACAGTGGATTGAATTGCAAGGAGCTCAAAAGTTGAATCCTGCTTTCTTCATAGCTTGAGTCCATACTGGAAAAGAGATCTGTTTATGCAACAAAATGTCTCTTTCAGGGTTATTTACAAACACCAAGAGATGACACTTGCTCCCTCAGGACATAGTGTTATAAGCTTGGTTTGCTTATATTTGTCAGGTTTATTATGTTGGGTTCTACAGGAAATCATCTCAGGGTTTTGCTGTTGCAGATTACATGTCTAGTTTATGCAGATGCAGTAAATTACTGCTTTCTTTCCCCACCCAAGTTTTATGGGGTGCTTATGCAGATACCAGGTCTATTTTTTTTCTAGAGGCTGTCCTCTGGGACCCATTTACTGTGAATTTTCTTCTTGAAAGGGAAAATTAAGGTTTACAGGTCAGGGAGATGGGAAGTTGTAGTTACTGTTATGGTATGTTAAGTTGTCTTGTTACAAATGTGAAACTAGCCCCTTAAACCTATGTACTGCTCAAAGCACATGATACAGATACACTGACTGGGTACAGATCAGAACACTTTTTGGGGTGAAATACTCCTTATACTGTCTTATCCTGAGTATGTTGCAACCAAATGAAACACCAAACAAGCACTGCAGCCCCCCACAAGTTGTCTGATTGCTGCTCCATGGCTTAATCCCAGCACAGAGCAAAGATTCTGTGCATCAGTGGAAGAATGGCAGCCACCTCCTGCTACAGCAAGGGCAAGGTCTTGCTGCAGTTGGCTCTGTCCATTTTGTCAAACAGGATTTTAAAATCCCAGACAGCTCTTGAGATGCCCAGGCTTCTCCTCTGCTGCCGTGCCCTTTTCCAAGAGCTGTTACAGCACAGCTCAGCTTGATGGAAAGTCTGTTTTTCTTCTTCCCTTGCTCAGGCTCAAACCTGGCAGGGGTGGGATGGCTGGGGGGAAGCCCTGCTGGATTCCTGCAGCTGGCTTTCCTCCTGCCCTTCACCCCGGCCATGCTCAGCCCAGCTCCAAAGTCCCCGCTGTAGGTAGGGGAGGGAGATGGGAGGAAAATGCAGTCCCTGTTGACTCTCAGCCTCCCTGACCCCATCAGTTTATAGTTTAAGGGCAACCTGGCTTTGCACTGAACTGGTGACCTTCAGAGAGAAGAGCAAAAGGTGGTAGAGTATGCCTTAGACAGGAGAGCAGGAAAGTAGTTTCAGTTCATATGTTCTGTGAGTTGCACTGTGTTATCCTCCTTGCTTTACACTGATGATGAGCTAGACAAGGAATATCAGAACTTTGTCTTACAATAATTCCTGCTTGTTTAAAATGAGTTACTAAGATAAAAGTGGTAAGTGAAAGCAGTGGTAAGACAATGCTGGTTTACTATTCTGTAGATAAATTAACTGTGCCATTTATCAATCAGTGCCCTAAAAACCCTCCACCAAAACCACCAGAAGGAAATAAATGTCCACAGCGACAAAAAGACAGTGTGAAGTGGCTTTGGATGTGTGACATTGTTAGGCCTGGGAAGCTTTGTAATCAGAGTTTTCTGCATTATTTTTCTTTCTTTCTTCCTTTTTTTTTTCTGAGGCAGATTTTGGCACACCTGAATTAACTTGTTTGAACTCTTCCAGACTTTTATTTCATCACTGCAACTTTGTTAAAGCTAAGCAGTTGTGCAGACTAGTTAGGCTTTAAGAAAGGTTTTGAATACATGAAGACCTTTTTTGGACAAGTTTATGCATCTATACTCTTCCATTATTATAGTACATGTGTAGGCTTGGACCAGAGGCAAAAAACCCCCATAGTTAAAGAGAAGAAAAAATCAAACCAGACTTTTAAATGATATATGTACTTGGTATATGTAACAACTGTGAACCACATGTGCAAGTAGGCTATAGAGCAGCTAAGATAATTTTCCTGTCTGCTTCTGCCTTCTCCATCCCCACCCCAATTTCCCATGTGTATGCTTTTATCTTTGCAGACAAGCTAACTGTGACATTGCAAATCCTCTTGGAAGTCGTCCCATCAGAGGAAGACCAGAAATCATGATCTTCATGTACAGCTTTTGACTTGGTGTTTCATTTCTACCTGAGGAAGAGGGTAGGGGGATTTATCCCCTCACCTTATCTTCTTCTGCAAACTGGAGGGACAAGACACAGCTGAGATGGATACCTAGCGAGTCAATTACCAGACCTATATTTTATGATGTTGCAAATTTTTGTTTTAATATGATTGGTTTATGTGTAGAAAGCAAGAACTTGTGCTACGAGGGAGCTAATCTCTTCACTATTTCTTTTGTTACAGTGTCATATTTTAACAAACCTTAGGTTCTTCAGACTAGGATTTTGAGATGCATTGTCACTGAAAATAGGTTTAAGTAATGTGTAAGTAGTAGTCGTGTACTGTGAAGAATGTATCCTGCTTGCTGTCCCTGAACAGCCTGACTCTCTTCAGAGAAAGGATGAGATAAAGTTGCTGAGTTTCACTTACTAGCGTTCTTCCCATCACTCCACTTGGTAGCCCGATTTGGCAACTTCTGGCTCACTTGGAGCACCAGCATGCTGATGCAGAAGCACAACTGTTTCCACACCTTTGTGGTGACAAGTTTCTTCATTCCAGGGTTGTTCTGCTATACCTGATAGGAACATCTGAGAATTAGTATTCCTGACAGTGAAGCAGGAAGATTTTAGCCTGGGGACTGATTTTATACATGTTAAAGTTACTACCAGTCTGGAATTGGTGACTGGTTTAGCCAAGGTTTCTCTGTGTACGTATGTATAGGAAATACAGAAAATGAGTAATCACCTCCAAATGAGTGAAAACATTTAGATGCAGCCTCCGTTGCTATATGAGTATTTTCTATCGGGAAGCTTGTGGACCTTCAGTTATCAGTCAGGCAAAACTGATTTTAAAGTTTTATATCATTGTCAGTGGGCAGAAATAAATAATAGTTACTACTAAGAATACTGTATAGACAAGGCAATAAATGAAATACCTTTTTATGAATAAGGTATAGGCAAGCTACAACAGATCTGTTGATTTGAGTAGGATATTTGCCTAATCTGTGGGCTTGAGATTCGAGCACACTCCAATTAACTGGGCTCTGAAACACCAAGGAAAAGGTGCTCTGCCAATGTCTTCTTTGCAGTTTTATCTCAGCAGAAACAGAGAAAGGCCATGAAAACTGATAAACTCAAATGAAATTCATCTTCAGAATGATGTTCAAGCTGAAATTTGGCTCAAATGTGAGCTCATTTTACTCTTTTTTAAAAACAGTTGTAGATGAAAAGATTTATAATGCTTAGAAATTCAGTTTTATATTGTTAGTCAGACTACTCAACCTTAAGATTAAGGTTTGTTATCACTCTATCAAGAATATAATGCTTAAATATTTAATGCACTACTTTTTGAGCTGTATGCTGTCAGTAAGTCATATGTTTCAAGGAAAAATTTATGGAACTAAGCAACATTAAACTTCCTAAACTGGGAGAAAAGTACAACTAGTAGCCATACCACTACAGTAGAGGGAGACTGTGTATTGTATATATGTTGTATATATCCAAAATATCAACTGTTTTAAGGGTGTACAGGAAAATGCCTTAAATTTATACATGTTTTTCTTTCTTGTATTTCTATGGTGGAATTTCATAGAAGTAGAGAAATGTGAGTAATTAATTCTGTAGAAAAGTGGTAATTTAAGACACAGAAAACATCTTGCAAACACTTTTTTCTTAAAATGTTTTCTGTTTACAGTAACTTAAAATGTTATTTGAAACTTTTTTAAGCAAACATTTTGAGAGAGATTTTTATATTGGCAGTGCATGTGTTTCATAGTATTTATGTTTGGGTAAAATATTACTTTTGATGCCATCTCCTGCCATCCAAGTTCTCCAGAGTTTAGCCTGTGTCATCGTGGAGCATCTTCAAAGTATACAGACTGCACTTCTCTCTGATAAAAATAAACTACATGATGCCCTCCAGGACTGCAACTAACACACTCCTCTGCTGATGGATGCTGAGTGCACAGGATCCCACCAGAGCTAGTCCAAAGCGAAAACACCTGAACACTGCTACTGTGGGTGCCAGGTTTTCAGTACCAACTGTATAATTCCAAGTATTCATTCCTGTTGTGCCACATTACTTGAAAACTTAAATGGAGGCAATGTTAACTTATGGAAATAAATGGGCTCTGTAGATATAACTGGGTGTTGCTTTATTTTCCTGTCATGGACATTAAAGTTTAGAAATGCTTCTGAAACCTGATTCAATGACCACAATTTTACAAGGCTTATTTCATGTAAGGAAAATCCTAAGGCTTGTTGACTGTGATATGCACAGGGATTCTAACTCCAGGTATAGTTTCTTTAGCACACAGAATCACAATACAAAATATTGTAGCTGGGTTTCCACGGTGTTATAAAAGCCAGTATTAAGGACTTTATTATATCTGGAAGTGAAGCATATCATCACAAACGGAGGAAAGACAGATATTTTTTAAAGCATCAGTTAATTTTTTCAGGACTTTCAAGAAAGTATTGTCTTCAGAGTCATGAAGCAAATTCTTCTAGAATAAAAGATAAACTTTATATGTAATTTTTTAATTTGGGTCTAAGGTGGTCAGGCCAATGAGACTGCTTCTGTGGGGATTGAATGATCCCTAATTTTTTCATTATTTGTCCTTGCACTTTGCATGTTTTCATTAACTGGACTCTGTCAAAATATGTCTTTCTTTTTGTTTAGATTTGTGCTGCTGTTTTTCTCCTTTGAATTTGTTGCTCTTTTGGGGTCAGTGCAGAAGTGTCACCAAAGGCAGCAGAAATGTACAGGTTTTTTTTTTGTGAGCAGCAAATACTGATGAGGTTTGGTACAGCACCTCTTAGAGAAGCAGTTCAGCATCTGAAGCCTCCAAAGAAGCTAATCTATCTTTGCACCTCCTGATCTCAACTGTGATGTTGCCGAAGGCATAATTTAGTCAGAGGGGCATGTTTTGATTTCTGAAGGCTGCTCCCAGCTCTGCATGGGCACAGTGTGGCTGACCTTTTCTATGGTGTCACGTGCTGCAAGTCTGTCTCTGCCATCCCTTCCCAGCCCAGGTGTCCTATGGCTTTTGAGGGGCTATTGGATGGGAGCTAGAGGGTCCTCTCTTCCTCGGCAATACATCCTTTTCTGGACCTAATTTTCATGCTTTGTTGCTGCTACTCCAGGTAATCTCCTTTATACACAGAAATCAAAGCAGGTAAGAGAGAATCTCATGTTTTAAACAAGGTGCCTGTCATCTGATAAAATCTGAACTGTACTTGTTGTGTGAGATGCTTCCAGATCCACTCTATAGAGCTTTTCGTAGTGCCCTTTTTATGTTGTTGTACATGAACATTTTCGGTACAGGACAAAATACATTGAGGTCTTTAATGTGACTGGCAGCTGCAATGTTTTAGGGGTGCTTTTTGTTCTGATGGCATGCTGTTTGTGAAGAAGTAGTGCCAACATGCTGATGACAGGCAACACCTTTCCAGGGACACCAGGGCCTCCAGATGTGGCCAAGGAGCAAAGATGCTTTTAGCTCAATGTTTGTTCCCAGCTCCTCACCCTGTCAATCAGCTCCCAGGCTGCTGCAGTTTGCTGTGTAGTACTTTCAGTCAATCTGCAAGGATTTTGGTCTGCCTTAAAATACTGCAGCATCGATCATGGTGTTTTAGGAGCATGTGTATATGTACGTATTTGTATATATTGCCATAAGGTGTTCAAGCTATGTTTTTGTGAAAAAACTTCCAAGTACTTTTGGAAAAGCCATTAAAAATGAAACAGTATCATAACTTTCATGCTTTTTTTTTTTTTGTGCATTTTTAACTTTATACGGAAATTGTTGCTTATTGTTATTCTCACTTATGCGTTTCAAAAATAGTCTCTTAATACTAGTGTACAGTAACAAAGACATTTAATCTGATTTTATATAAATATGTATCAGATTGGTATCATAAACCAACGGCCATGCTGGCTTAGTGAAAGACAAGCCTGAGAAAACTAAGCTGCCTGAGGATGTGATGCATCCCATGCTAAGACAGGTATTCAAGGTAAATTACATGAACTGATCTCTGGAATTGCTCATAGCTCTGTTTTTCTTAGAGGAGGAGGTGGGAAGACTAGTTTAGGCATGCCTATCACGTCAGGTGAGCAGGAGTGAAATGAACCCTAAATTACTGCAGCTGGTGTAATATAATTACTAAAAGCCCTTATTTTCTAAACTGGTACTGAGGATTACAGTTACCCCCTAAGAATTATTTATTTTCAGTTCAGATTGCCATAGAGGTTTCTTTGAGTAGAACACACTCCGTTTTCTAGATTTTCCAATTTGAGTGAAAGCCAAAAAAAAAAAACCCAACTCTTGGCTTGTAAGAAGTTCGTTTGCCTTTGACTATGTAGATATAATTTTTGGCTGAACGTGTATGCTCCTGCTTTTTGATTTTCAGAGGAAAATCAGCTTTTAATTTAAGAATATTTTTCAAACATTCTTCTACAGAAAAAGATAGATGTTACCTATGTTCACAAGGTAGGTAGCTAATTGTGTTGATGGAACAAGATGAAAAGGACTTTTCATAACTTTCAGTACCTCCAGAACTTTTGGTTCAAGCTTTAGACATATATCAGAATCCAGACAGATTATAATCAGTACAGGTCTTAGCAAAATGGATGTTAATTTTTCTTCAGGAGAAAGTAGACATTTGATTTTTGCAACATACCTATCAAACATTGTGTTTAATGACCATCAGAGCACAGATGGCTCATACAGCAGACCCTGTAGCAGGGAACATGCTGAAATGCAGTGCTGAAAAGGTGTTCATGTCTGGGAAGGATGAGAAGGACAAAAACTGGTATTTTGAGCCCTGTTATAGGGCTGCTTTCAAAGACCAGAGTCTTTTTTTTGTAGTGGCTGCAATGTCTGTGTGACTGCTGGCACATAAAAGGCCAGTGCCAGATGCCAGTTCAGGAACATCACTGGACCTTCAAGCATTTGAACTTGCACTCTTAAGCCTACTCAGACTCTCTATATAGTCTGTAAAGGTGTTTTCTGTGCAAGCCTTGTAACAGTGGTGAGGACAAGCATCCTAAGAAAGGAGCTCCTGTTTGCAGAAGACGGCAGTTGGATTTCTTTCCCCTTGTACATTTCCCACCCCACCCCCTGCACTCTTTTATCCATTTCTCTGTGGTGGGGAGTCTGGAGTGACTCAGGAAAGTCTCCTTGTGTTAAACACCTACTGGTGACTTGCTGAGACTTGGCAAACTGACGGTTCTGCTTGCCTTCAGAAGTCTCTGTATTTTTCTTGCATGTTAGTCCATGTTTAATTTGATTTCTGTTATTGTGGTTTTTTTTTTGCCAAGGAAATACTGGGAAGCGTGTCTACAATTGACACAACAATTCTGTTTACATTTGCTTTCTTGTTTCCTTTTTATTCAAAGAAACATTTCAAATAATTTTTTTTTCCTTGAAATGTAAAGACCCAAATGGATAAAACACGTTTTTCAAAAAAGGCTTGACTTTATCAAGAGAGAGTTTGGATGCTCTTTACCTTCCCTGTTACAGGAATGTCTACAGCATTGTGATCTAAACCACAGCTTTGATGTTTTCTAAATATCATATTGATGATGATCCGACATGGTTATAAAAGCACTGTGGTTACAGTCAGGTTTCTGCTTCTGTAGCTCATGCTTTTCTCACAAGGCAAGCTACAAAACTTTCCCACTGCTAAGCTTTCCTGAAGGCCTCTTTCTGCTCCCAGGAATTTGGCTAGATCCCCTTTGAAAGAGAAATATCCTTTCCTTTGGGGTACACCTCACCACCTGGCTCACAGCGTTGGCTGTTAACAAGTGAGCTTTAGCTGCAGACAGGTACCTTGCTGAGCCCAAAGCTTGCTCTCTCCAAGAGAAACTAGAGTCCTGGGTTTTATAAAGTAGCTGGCTCTTCCATCAGCACTCACACATGTACTTACAATGTTTTACAAAATTGTTATTTTGGTTGGGTTTTTGTTTCTCCTCCCTGTTTGTTATGAGAAGTCTAAATGTTACGGGACAGTTTTCTAATTTTACCCCATACTGTTGGCTCTGCCTCAAGAAAGTCATTTGATTCAGCTTTAGCTGCCAATATCTCTTTGCCACACAGTCATTACAATGTAATTGGATCTAAAGTATGTGTATAATTTGCTGCTACCAATGCTGGCTTGCCTTAATTATGACATCCAGCTGATTTCTAAAGGATACTAATCAATGAATATGCATGGAATAGTAGACGGACACAGATGAATGAGTAAATCTTCACAAGAACTTGAGTTTTCACAGTACCTGCTTATCAAGCTGTTTAAAAGCATTGAGGCAGGATCTCTGGTTTGAAGTGGATGAGGGCTTTTAAAAGGGCTTATGACACAGCCCAGGACAAAGTGTGCTCAAAGCCTGAGGTGTTTTAGATTGCATACGCGTGTGCATTCTGCTGCACTTTGTGGAGGCAATGAGGAAAATCTTAGAGGTATAAATATGAACTCCTAGGCAGATGATGGCTCTTACCATTCCCCTAGTACTTTCTCCTACATGCACCCTGATTGAATGTTACAAATAACTTTTCACTGAAAGCATTTCCTTTCAGTGTCTCCTCTGCAAGCTAGCTTTTTGAAATATCTGTATTTAATTTTAAGCTGGTTGCTATTCTTGCCCATACAGTTTTGATTTTTTTTAAGCCTCATATTTTTCTTCATCTGAAAACTGTCATGTCATAGAAAACCTGTTTTCCAGGCTGTAACAGTACTTTTAAGAAGTAACATGATCACGAGTTATGGTCAC